CACCAGCCCACCACAACCACAACCACCCGCACAACCAGCCTATGATGTTCAGTATCCACCAGCAAACCGTATCTGGGATTGGCAGCAAAAACCCAATTTTGTTCCCAAGCCCCACCACTTTGATGACTCTCAAAGTGGAATTCTACCTACTTGTCCCCTTGGAACCACGGCCAATGAACTGGAATTCTTTGAATTATTCTTTGACCAGCCATTGATGGAAACTATTGTCAGGGAAAGTAATAAGTATTTTGAGTACACCATGGCAAATACGATCATATCACCACAGTCAAGACTACACTGGTGGAAAGAGACGACTGTTGCAGAAATGTATTTGCTTTTAGCAACAATAATGCTTATGCCTCATGTCTATAAGCATAATATAAAAGCATACTGGTCCACAGATCGGTTAATTTCTACTCCGGTCTTCAGTGAAATCATCCCAGTGAACAGGTTTATCTTACTGTTACGTATGTTGCACTTCTCTGACAAAACCAGGCCTGACAGAAGTGACAGGTTATACAAGATTAGAAATGTTTTTATGTATCTCAAACAAAAGTTCAGCATATACTTTTATCCATTCAAGAATCTTGTAATTGACGAGTCTTTGATTTTGTTCAAAGGTAGGCTGTCATTCAAGCAGTATATACCGAGCAAGAGGAAATGCTTTGGTATAAAACTGTTTGTACTCTGTGACTGTGACAGTGGCCTAGTGTTGGATATTGTTGTATACATGGGAAGTAAAACATTGAAAGATACCAAGATGTTACTGGGTATCTCAGGTGACATAGTGAGAAACATGATGGCACCTTATCTTGGTAAGGGGCATACATTATATACCGATAACTGGTACACAAGCCCATTACTCGGTGATTTCTTGCTAGTGAACAAGACAGATGTGTGTGGCACAGTGCATTCTAATCGTAAACATATGCCCAGGCTCAACGCAAGTGCTCGTGGTGATGACATGCAGGTGTTTACTGCCAATGACGTCATGGCATTACGGTGGCATGACAAACAAGATGTCACATTGTTGACAACCATTCACCGTAATGAAATGCAAGACAGTGGCAAAATTGATCCAGTGACTAATGAACGTATTCGAAAACCAGTGACAGTGATTGATTATACACAAAACATGCGCTTGGTTGACATATGTGACATGCAGATTGGTTTTGTTGATTGTGTTCGTAAGAGTTACAAGTGGTACATGAAACTTTTCTTCCATCTCACGGACATTTCAATGCTCAGTGCATATAATATGTACCAAATAAAGACTGGCAACAGACCACCGTATTGTGAATTTTGTTTGTCTGTTGTCAGACAACTCATAATGAAGTACCAGGTAAGAACACCTGCTGTACAACAAGGTCCTTGAATTCCTCAGGATATACCCAAGCATTTGAGGAGGGAAGGTGATCATTTCATAATACAGCTTCCTTCAGATTGAAGAAATTTGCTCAGAAGAGATGCATCGTCTGTGCACAAACAAAACGACGGCAACAAAGACGCAAAGACACTCGGTTTATGTGTGAGGCATGTAAGGTGCCTCTGTGTATGGTGCCTTGTTTCAAGGAGTTCCACAAGCTCCAGCAGTTCTAAAACCATGTCCAGTGATTGTAAATATGTAAATATATGATAGAACATTAGTATTATACAAGATTTGTGCATGTTTATTGTAATAAACAACAGTGGTAAACAATAATATGATAATAACTTTAGTGCGGTTATTGTGTTCAATACAGTGAGTTTATATATATGCATTATATACAGTATTGGTCTCTCAGGCCCCAAATGTTAGTAGGAAAAGAAAAAAAATTGGAAAAGAAAAGAAAAAACTACAAAAACTGCTAAATAAAGTAATGTGCGTATGTGGAATTCGTCGATGTTGCCGCCACCACATCATTTTTGACAAACTTCTTGGCACTGTATCTCGGTAAGTACTGATCAGAAATTTTTTTTTTGTCTTATTACCTTCACAAAAATATGCTCTTTAATTCTGCAAGAAAAATCATTTTTTTTTTTTCAAAATTTCTTGGACACTGGAGCACCACTTCAGATTTTGGCCTTGGACCCTGAAGCGGTTAATCTTGTCCCCCAGGATCCGACTCATACCAGTCAACTAACACCCAGGTGAACAGGAAAAAAATGCCTGGAACTAGAGCTCATATTGGTGAATTTAAGGCCAGCAAAGGTTGGTTTGAGAGATTTAAGAATCATAGTGGCATACACAGTGTGATAAGGCATGGTGAAGCTGAAAAATTCCAACCCCAACAAGTGTCAAGTGTTCAATTGTGACGAAACAGGCCTGTTCTGGAAGAAAATGCCAAACAGGACCTACATTACTCAAGAGGAAGAGGCACTCCCAGGACACAAACCTATGCAAGACAGGCTAACTCTCATGTTTTGTTGTAATGCTAGTGGGGACTGCAAAGTGAAGCCTTTACTCATGTATCACTCTGAAAATTCCAGTGTTCAAGAAAAACAGTGTCTCATCACTCATCAATGCTCTTCAATAAAGGTAAGTGTTATTTAACATTTATTATGTAGTTATTGTGCATATCTCATTGTTTTCTTTGTAGGGAAATGTATATATTTCATAAAAAAAATTTTTTTTTAATACTTTTGGCTGTCTGGAACGGATTAATTGGATTTCCATTATTTCTTATGGGGAAAATTAATTCGATTAATGAAAAATTCGCCTAAAGATAAGCTCTCTGGAATGGATTAATATCATTGGTCGAGGGTCCACAGTATATACATCAAACACACTGGCTCGTAAGACGTATATATATATATACGACCAAAACAGTCAAAGGGTTAACCCCTAACTGTCCAAACGTAGATCTATGTTTTATTTTTCCTGCTTCCAAATTTGGCACAATTGGCCTGAGATGCCTGGTCAGCATAGAATGGGTCTTAACCTTCGGTGTGCACAGCATTAAAAGAATCTGGGACCACTCAGTACCTTGTGGAAGCACCAGTTCAACTGAGCACCAGCTAGAGCAAACAGCGCAGCAAACACCAAGGATTCACTGATGTCATGTCATATTAACACTCCCCTTTTAAGAGGAAAGTGATGCTGACCCCGAGTTTAGTTGCTCTGAGGTGGATGTGGCCACAAGTGGTCACGGAAATATGTATCAAAAACCTCGATAATAACCCATGTGCAACATTTGTGCAACACCAACACCCTTTCAATTTTGGTACCACTGGTAGTGTCATCCTGCCAGAATGTCCTATAATCCATGCCCTAAGTAAAAGGAAACAATTCTGGAATGTGTAATATGTGTTTGGCAGGCTGGCTGGCCAGCTGGCTGGCTGACCGGCGGCTGGCTGACCGGCAGCTGGCTGGCCGGCGGCTGCGGGAGGCTGGCTGGCTGGCCGGCGGCTGGCTGGAGGCTGGCTGGCTGGCTGGAGGCTGGCTGGCTGGCTGTCTCTATCCCCATCTGTCTGTCTGTCTGTATCTATCCCTATCTCTTTCTCTGTATCTGTCTCTATCTCACAGAAACACATATGTAAATACAATTATACATAGTGTAAATTACCTAGGATAACCCCAAAAATCCAGACAAAGTGCTATACTGTGCTTGCAGATATAATGCATAATAAACATGACTGGTAACTGTCAAGTAATACGCATTTTCACTTGTTCAGGAAGCAGACATGATCGTGTGTAATACCAGTTGGGTCATGAGCAACTCTCTGAGACAAGAGAGACAAGCAGACAGAAAGACAGACACATACTGGCAGACAGAAAGACAAACACATAGACACACAGAAAGACAGACACACAGACAGATAGACAGAGAGCTAGACAGACAGATAGACAATGTTTATTTGTAACAGTGAATACAAATAAAGCGAAGGCAGTGTACGCTCATCAAATGTCACCGTTAGCTGCACTGTCAGCAGTGGAGTGACACACATCTTACATCATGCTTCAAGGGAACTTATTAGTATTATTCTTCTTCTTTCAACAAACTGGCCATATCCCACCAAGGCAGGGTGGCCCAAAAAGAAAAACAAAAGTTTCTCTTTTTAAATTTAATAATTTATACAGGAGAAGGGGTTATTAGTCCCTTGCTTATTATTTTTTTATTATTATCACACTGGCCGATTCCCACCAAGGCAGGGTGGCCCGAAAAAGAAAAACTTTCACCATCATTCACTCCATCACTGTCTTGCCAGAAGGGTGCTTTACACTACAGTTTTTAAACTGCAACATTAACACCCCTCCTTCAGAGTGCAGGCACTGTACTTCCCATCTCCAGGACTCAAGTCCGGCCTGCCGGTTTCCCTGAACCCCTTCATAAATGTTACTTTGCTCACACTCCAACAGCACGTCAAGTATTAAAAACCATTTGTCTCCATTCACTCCTATCAAACACGCTTATGCATGCCTGCTTATTATTATTATTAAATACTCCCACATATCCAAAACATTGCTGGAACCTATAAATACTATTTATATATTTCTAGACAATAGTATGTGACTAAGGTAGGTAAAAATGTTCACCTGTCCCTGTGTTTGTGATTATTTGAGTACTGTTTCAGTAACTAATATTAGTATCAGAAAAAAAGATTAACTATGAAATCACAAGAACTACTACAAATCATAATTATCAGAACATAAAAATTATACGAATTAACAAAAATTGAGGAAAAAAAGGTACATCGGCAACACTTCTGCTAGCAGCAGTGCTTCATGTTGCTGTCATGTGAGCAACAAGCGCCGACTTTGCGGCCTTATATTTCCATAAGTATTAACTCTAGAATTTTTTTTACATTACTTTATGTAAAAAAATGTTCTCTTCATTAAAAAAAAAAAAAAAAAAAAGATTTTTTTTCAATATATTCGGAGCACTGGGAGAGTGAACGCAGATCTACAATTGGACAGTTAAGGGGTTAAAGCCTTTTACTTAAATTCTAAAGAAGGTTACAATGTTTTCTCCTGGCCTTATACATTTTATTGTAGTCAATGTGCTTATAACTATACTCACAGGTGCCCTCAGAAAGTCTTCTAATCTGGTATGTGAGAGCTCCAGCACTTCTTCACCCTCAATTATTTCTGATAGATGAGCCTGGATGAAAGTTCCGGTAGTTTTTCCTAATGCCTCCAAGTTAAATCTGAAAAATGTATAACTGAAATGGAGACAATTTTTATGGAATTTTCTAATGAACACTAAAACAACGCTGCTGTTAATGAATGCAAACTTCCAAAGGAAAAATATCTAAATCTCAGGCACTAAGAAAAAACATTGAAAATTTAAGCATTATGAAAACTAACATCCAGAAAGAATGATAAGATTAGCTTTCAATTTTCATTCAAATTTAATGGAGAAAGTGTACCTAAAATCAAATCTATAGTGAAAAATTAAGTAGATAAAACTTGTAAACATGTACTTCACGTTATCAGGTACAGTATGTCATACGTTGGAATCTACAGCCAGGTGATATAATATGCATTACTTATGTTATGGTAAAAGGCTATTTATTTTATCATGTCATGGGCATAAAATTGTCTTTTTTTTTTTTTCTCCAGTGTTTGCCATCCTACAAAACTGTGGAATAAATGGGATTAGGTCAGGGGTTTCAAATAGAGTTAGAGCTAAAGAAGGAGTAGCAATAATGTTGAAGGATAAGCTATGGAAGGGAAAAAAGGGGGACTAAATGTATTAATTCAAGGTTTATGTAGTAAAAAAAAAAATTTGGGTGTAAAAAGTGGGTTATAATAACAGTATCACCTGGAGAAGAGAGAATGAAAGAGGAGTGGAGAGATTTTGGGAAATGTTGAGTGAATGCAGGGGGAGTTTTGAATCAAGGTGAGAGTAATGGGGGGGGGATTTCAATGCAAAGTGGGTAAAAATTTAAGGGGGGAGTAGTGGGTAAATTTTGGGGTGCCGGGGGTAAATGAAAATGGGCCCTTTAAATTGAGCTATTTTAGAAAGAATTTGGTAATAAGAATACTTTTTTTTATAAAAAAGGGGGAAAAATAAATACAAAAGGGTAGATGTACAAAAATAAAAGTAGTTTATTAGATAGTATTGGGTGGATAAAAGGTTTGATGGGTAGTGTGGAATGCAAAGAGTACATAACCTTTTTTGGGGCGCATGTACACACCCCAATTTACAGGCATCCCCCCCAAACCAGCAACCCCGTTGCTAAGGTTGATGAGGGGCCCCCGCCCAACTAGTGACCGGGTTCTACCAAATAAGAAATGGTTTTGGAAATCGCAGAGGTTATGGGGGAACCGCTCCCGTCGCCCGTCACCCCCATTCTAGAGCGGGTTTTAAAGCAGGGTCTGCTATCTTGGGCTTCTATTCTGCTTTGCTTACCTGGAGTGCACTAACATCACTGACATATGACATATTGCTGTTCTAAATTGGTAAGGGAAAATATAAGTCAAACTTTTTCTACGGGGTTTTTTTCCCCTTACCCCCGGGGGTAACAGGCCTTTGGAATCCGGGTTTGTAATTGGGGTACCGTCCGAGATTTGAGCGGACTTTAGAGAAACGTTGGCTTGGGGTGAAGCTCGAAGCAGGAACATGTGCAGCTTGCTGTCTGGCATTGCTTTAAAATTTTTTTGCGTGTCAGTTGTTACTAGCCTGTTCGGTGTAAAAATTTTTGCAGTCGTTTTGCTTGTACGTATTCTGAAAATCTACTGTCATAGCTAAGCGTTTTTTCTGAAAATTAAGTTTTTACTTGGGGGTTTCGCAATCTACTGTGCATAGCGAATAATTTTATGCCCCTAGACGAGCAGACTCGGTGTGGGCATATACTTTGCAAAACTCCCTAAATGCCCCCACACGTTGTTGGCAAATTTTGCCGTTCCATTGGCTTTAAAATACAAACGCACTCTCACAGCTGCCAACTGCGTTCACTGATTGCTGCAAATTTTAAGAAAAAGAGATGGCACACAACTCCCCCCTCTACGGGAGCTAGGGAAAAAACACATTTTCTTGCAGGGGGAAGATGATACACCACAGAGAAAAAATGTCATAAGTGCAGCTGGTTGCTCAGGGGAATCACGCGTTGGCACTTAAACGGCAAAAAAAATCTTGGGGCAAACTGGGAACAAGAGCATTCGAAAGGGGAAAAATTTGTAGGGAAAGAAAAGGGAGGCAGTTTTCGGCATTCTGAAAAAAATTTTTATTTACAGAAAGCTACGTTTTTTTCCCCCTTCAATGGGGCCCGAACCAAGCAATTTTCGAAAGCTTCGAAAATCAGCTCGACCTTGGGGTTGGCCGGGAACAGCATTGGGCATCTTTGGGTTCATACAGCTTAAATTGGTAAGGCACAAGAATTCACGATTAAATGACTTGAATTTTCTGTTTAATCATATGAAGCCCACATTTTTGGGAGCATTACTGTACCCAGCCAAATACCCAAGATTTTTAAAATTTGGCAACGACCCTTGGTCAATCCCTATCGACTTTGTGAGACAGAAAACCAAAGCTTTTACCAGCTGGAAAAAACAACTCTACCTTTGGGGACTGGTCAGCTTATTCTGAGAAACCCTGCTGGAGTCGGGGCCCAAGGGGTTTTTGAGTTTTTCTGCGGGATGGGATTTAAACCACTGCATTGGAGGCAGCCAGGTTGGCTGATACCTTCGAACTAACCCGCTCCTTGTCCGAGCGGTCCCCGCTCTTTTTTTAAAAACACCCTGGCATCACAAGATCGAAACCTTTGGGAGAATGAAGTCCAGCCGGAGGAGAACGCTACGTCAGCCAACCAAGTCACCGGGTGAGCCACGCTTCCAACATAGGGTCCCCTGGGGAGAGGCAACTACTCATGGTGCATCTCGACAACATACCCAGAAGACACCAGCCAGAACACACCTTTTGCAACGTCAACGGGGAGAAAAGGGCAACCCTGTCGCTGCTTCAGGTGCAATAAAGTGGGTCACATCATTCCAACGCCCCCAAAAACCCCCAACCCATTGGGAAAATCCTAAAACCCTATAACTGTCCCCTAAGAAGTAAAAAAGGATCCCCCTTATTATTGCAAAAGTCTTATTTTCCCCTTCAGAAAACTCAGAAACAATAAGGAAAGACCTTAAATACGGGAGCATATTCCACTTGTAAGAAGGGAAATTACCCCTTTCAGAAAATACTTCCTTTTAAATTTCCTCTTTTTTTTGAACATTTGGAGGAGTTTATAATTCTTTTTTCCTTTGCATAAAATTTATTTACATGCAAATATTTACACGGGGAAACTTGATGTAGGTTCCAAAAGGTTTCCCCCATGAAAAGATGCAGTGTTTTACGGGGTAAAACTTACTACTTTTTAGTTCGTGTCCGAACCTATAATGATTAATTCTTCTCCGGTTTGGCCATAACTCGGGCAACACCCCCAAGGGGTTTGTCTGGAGAAAACTTGACCTACCCTTTTGGACGACTCCGATCTCGGAATAGCCTGTTTTTTAAACGGGGCACACCGGCCCGGGAGCCTCGTAAATCAAGTGAACAGACCCCGATCAAGCCCCCTATTCCCAGGTTGCGGGATGCCAATGTCTCTGTTTCCATGCCCAGGCGCCTTTCCCGGGGGGAACAACGAAAGGACCCTCTTTAAAATTCCTTTTGGGGCAGCCATGGGTAAATCCTTTTTGGGGTATCCGGTCAAGATGAAGTTAAAAACAATTATTTGATCGCCTGAACTGGTAAGGAGATAGAGGGCCGGGCAATTGTTTAACGGGTTTAGGGGTTCCAACAAATATAGACCTCAAATATTAAAAAGCTCATAAAACGTCATTAGGAGGTCACTTAAAATTAAAAAACCCCTTGTATAGAATCACAAAAGAACTTTTTTGGCCAAAATTAAAGAAAGATGTGAAAAATCTATTAGGTGTTCCCGAAAAATGTCAGCAAGTTGGAAAACCTGGACATTCCATTAAACCTGAAAACCCCCCCAACCTATACCTCGATGGAAAACCCCTTTTTGCAGATTTAATTATAGATTTTGTAGGTCCACTACCTAGGTCAAAATCGGAAACAGTATTTTTTTTACGATTATAGATAAAGAAACCAATACCCCTGAAAGAAATTTCCCATGCGATATTAATACTAAACTATTCTCAAAGCTTTAAAAAAATTTCATTCTTTTTTTGGCCCTCCTAAAACTATTCAAAGTGATCAAGTACTAACTTCACTCCCAAGCTTTTAGGGAAGTTTTAAAAGGGTTGGGGAAATCCACAACTTATCCATGCCTATCATCCTCAGCCCAAAGGGGTGCCTTGGGAAGATTCCACAACATTAAAAACAATGATGAAATTTTTTGCATGACTTCCCACAGACGGGGAAAAATCACTACCTTTTTTTTGTTCTCAGTACGAGAAAGGGGTGCAAGACAAAGGGGTATAGTCCTTTGACGATCTTGGGCAAAAGTACGGGGTCTCATCGGTGCTCAAAAAAGGGATGGAGGGGAGAAACTTAGTTAAAAACCCCTAAACCCCTTTAAAGGGTTGCGGGTGGCACCAGTTAGCCAAGCAAACCCTAAAGACAGCTCAAAGCAAGATGAAACAGAGGTATGACGAAGTGCACAATTCTGCCCCTTCCACCGGGAGAAAAGGGTTTGGTGCAGAACCATCCTGGCACCCCTTTGAAAGCAGATTTAGGGGACCATCAGATTGTAAGTAATTTATCTGATGTAAATTAGTGGTACTCCCATTGATAAACCCAAAATCTAAAACTTACCACATAATCAGTTTAAACTTCATACCCAAAAAAGCCCCCAGTAATGCCCTTTGCCCTTACCTCTGAGGACAACTCTGACCTTTGCACTCTTCTCTGAAATTTAAAATTAAACTTTCAAATTCTGCCCCCCTCAAATCCTACCCTTTTTTTTAAGGAGAAAATTATCTGAAAAGAGCAAAAAATTTTAAATGACTTCACATCAAACCTAATATTTTTTTGGTTCCCAAAAATGTACTTAGGTTACCATGATGTAGATGTGGGGAAAATCTAAACAATTAAACTCTCCCCCTAAACTTTAAACCGAAAAACAAAAGGGTACTTTTAGCAGGGAAAAAAAATTTTTGTTAAAGCAAGTTAGTGGAGGGGAGTCTGTCCATGGGCTTTACCCTGCATCCTTGTGAAAAAGGCTGATGGGGGGGTTTCGGTTTTTAAGAC